TACTACATATATTGTTGAAGGTCCATTTCCTGTAATAATTTGGAGCGAAGAGTTTGCTTGTACTCATACAGGACCCAAGTGGATTCCAGCAAAGAATGTGAAACCTTATCGAGTGCAAGAAAGTGCTGACCATGCCACAGTGAATAAGCAGGCACACAGACGTGAACTATCAAAGATTTCTACTTGCACCTGATGTCTTGTGTTTTACCTGTAGAAGATTGTGAACTTTGGGTGGGTTTTTTTTTAAAAAAAGAGGGGGAATCAGTAGTATTGTAGAATTTTGTTTTGTAATAGTTTAAGGGAAATATGGGTTTTGCTCTTATGCTATGCTTTTTCTGCTTTGCTTTGTTCACTATTAGTAGTACAGATTTGCCAATTAGCAAACTTAAAAATGCTTATGTAATTTTAACTAATGTATTAAGTTTAAATGTCATATATCTGTCCAACACAACCCCAGAAAAACTGTTTTTCACTGGTTTAGCTATCCCTGTAGTTATATTGTTAGTGTTATTTGTGATTTCTATTGTTATTTGTATTGTTTGTATTTGTATTGCTAGATATATTGCTAATGCAAATTTGTGTGTGCTTTGCCATGACAGCCACTTGCTACTGAATAAGTGAAGTTTTGCTTTGATAACCAGGTGAAAGAAGCAGGGATGGCCAAGACCCTCCTGAAATCATCAAGGGCAAGACTGGGCTGCCCTCTGTGTTTGCCACCAAGAAGATTTTTAGCTCTGCTGCTGGATGCAACCCAGTAGGCATTGAGCAGTGGGGACACATGCCATGCCAGACCTTGATGAGAAGGATAGCCTTCTCTGCTACCAGAGGGCCATCCAGGAGGAGAAAATAGGCCAAGTAGCCTGCAGATGATGAGTCACAGAATGATTGAAGTTTGATAGTTTCTTTGATAGATTAGATTAATTGAATATTAAGGAATCTTTGTGGTTCAAAGAGGAGGGGGAGATGTTGGAGTCAGTAAATCAGAAGTCTCTCTGATTTCTTCAGAAAGAAATCAGAGTGCAGGAATTGAATTAAAGTCTTTGAATAGAATGAGTAAGTGAATAGATGGAGTGAAAATAAGTAAGTAAATGGAATAAG